GGAAGCACACGTACTGAGCGTAAGCCACTGGTGTGTGACCACCTTGACTGACCAAGGCCTGCCGCTCCCCGGCACTGCCTCCTGCGTTACCGCTAGCGAGAAATATGCAGCGTGGAGCCGACTTAAATACGCCAATAGTTCGACAAAAGTTTAACAGTATGGACTAAAAACCATTAACTCACGATTCTGGTTACTTTAAAATTTGGTATGCTGTATCTCAAATACATTAGTAACTATTCCTAGATGGAAATAAGCAAATACATGGAATCGTTAAAAAAAAAAAAAAAAGCATCACTAAATGTCCATTTGTACAGATAACATTAGCAAACATCTAAAATTTCCTCAGTAAAAGAAAATCATGTGTATTTTTAACCCTTTGGTATCCAAACTCTTAAATTATGAAGACTTTCTCAAATATAGTCTTCAGGCAACAACAGGAAGAAACTTTTTTAAAGTATTACCTGAATAAATTTGGTGCCAAGTTTTCATTTCAAGGACAACATCACTGAGGACAGTTTTATACTGCAATGGAATCCCAATTATGTTTCCATACATTAAGGTATGAGAGCATCATTCAAAGAGTCTGATAAAATAGTTAACATGCTCCCACTATAATTTAGCAAAGAAAAAGATCTTTGGCTACAGAAATCATTGGTTATTTGAAAGCACTATTTATAAAAGCAGCGATTACACAATCATCAGGATCTAGATGCTATTCAAGGCATTATGAAATTAATCAAAATTCTAAACTAAGTCTGTCGACGAGTCTACAAATACGGTCACTGCACCTCTGCTCCCGTCGGGCAGGCGCAGAGAACTTCAGAGCCATCTCGGGAAGGGTTTCCTCCACCGTGTCTACAGCGCCTCAACAAAAAGGGAGAGCCGGCAGACAGCAAGATCAGACCAGTTTGCTGCAGGGACAACGAGGGAGGGAGGCGAGAATAGGCGGGGAACAGGACCGGAACGCAGAGTACCCAAAATCACAAGTTTTGTAATTCAGAGTTGCAATTCCGATAAACTTCATGGTTAGACTGTTATTCTTAAGAGCAAATAAGTGAACAAATGAAACCACAAATTTCAAACATGAATGAATGACTAATAAAGTAATTCTGGGCAAGAGTGGCAACAAACTTGAAGCAGGAACATCCAATCCGCTCATCACATGTACGCGCCCTCAGGGGAAGTCTGCTCCCAGACGGGGCTCCACGGGAAGGACACGGGCTGGGCCACAGGTACGACCGCCACTTACAGGCCAAACTAAACCGACTGAATTTCAGTTAAGGGTACCTGGAAGTTCAGCAGTACCTATATAGTTTTTGCAGCATTAGAAAAAAATCTATTAAGACCACATTGTAGACTTTTGTTACTACAGCCGACTGTGCCTGTTTTCTACCTTAGGCAAGAAAGGTTTAGTTAGAGTGAGTGAGTCACTGAACTTGCTGACATAAGGCTGTGATGCTGCTCCAGTTATCTGATGACCACAGTCAAGTTCCTCTGGGGAGCAAAACAACTGAGTTAAAATATACGTAGCCCATTAGAAGGTCTGGTCACCATGGAATCGGCAGCTTCCCCGGAAACGCTCGCCCATCGGAAACCTGAGGCTCTGCCGTGACCAAAGCAGACACTAGTGCCCGTGAGCCGGGGCATGAGAAGGGCCAGCACACATGCCAGAGACCCAAGCAGGTCTAGCTGCACGCAAGGTCCCGCGGAGCCCCTTCAGGTCTACCAGAGGCATAAAAAAAGCTATTTCGGCAGCTGGTTGATACAGAAATGCTTTCTACTTTACCTCTAAAGAAAACACTGGTGTCAAAATACTGAATGAAACTAAATATAATCCAAGGCTTGAAATGTCAATTTACGATGTCAGCAGTAAAAAGGTATCCTTAATTATCCGCAGTCAGTCGGCAAGTTTTCAAGTCTCCCTCCAAGATCACATGAAGACTTAATCTTACTCTGTCACTTATTTGAGCGTCAAATAGAAAATGGGGCAGTGACTGTCCACATGCCCTCTGTGTGGGCAGGATTCAGATTCGGCCTGCAAGGACAAAGTCAACTGTCAGGTAAGCAAGGCCGGGGACGGGCTAAGTGATATACGGACACACCTGACGTCTGCAGAGATGCTGGTAATTTAAAGTCTACACACATGTAGTGTGCTCACAGAACTGCCACTTACTCCTACGTATTTTTCTTTCTGGATGTAAACAGTGGCAAATAATAATGACCATCATATAAGACAGATAACAAAACCTCACAAGAAAAAGAAAACTTGGCACCAAAACTCAAGATGTAAAATAAGAGAAGGAAAAAAAAAAACTCCATCAACATACTCACGTGTGGTGCTAGAAAATGTAACACACGGTGCACAGCAGCCGACATGCGTTATCTTACAGAGGCGGCCTATATTGACAAGTAAGTTACAGAACAAACCATTCTAGCCACAGATGCGTGGTGCGCTTGCCCTCACCATTATCTACCCAATGACCAAAAAAGCAGCAACTTAAGACTTTGGCCACTTTATGCAGCTGATACATAAAAAAAAAAAAAAAAAAAAAAAAAATTAATAACAAAANAAAAAAAAAAAAAAAAAAAGTAGGAATTAATAACAAAATTAATAATTACCACCAAGTGTGACAAAATACTGACATGACACAGCTTTTAATCTATTCGCAGGAAAAGGAAAAGTTTATATCATCTCCTAAATATCTACCGTAGCATGTAATATGAAGAATTAAGAATCTGGCCCGTTCTGAACTCAAAAAACATAAGTAACTTTAGATAAGTAAATTAATACTGTCCCCCTTGATTGTTTTAAAAAAACAAACAAATGGCATTTTATTTGCCACAACTACTCTTTACCATATGAGGAGCATTATAGGAAACAAGTAAAATAGATCTAAGTACCATAATTTGGGGGACACAAACTATTATTTGTTGGTAGGCTAAAAGTGTTAAACTTTATAGTTTAATGTGCAGAACAGATATCAAAAAGCAATTTACAAATTAGCTTACTAGCGAAACTGGCAATTTATCCAGATGTTAAACTAAATAACCACATACACAGTAGCAATAATGATTACTTGTGTTCTCTGTCTCCAGGCCAAAGACTCAGAATTTAAAGAATCGCTTTTGGCTAGGTGGCTCAGGCTAAATATTTCTTCTAAAAACCATGTGAAGGTTCAGGCAAGGGAGATCACCATAACGCAGGGTCTCGAGGGAGAGGCTCTTATACTGAGAAGGAAAAACAGACTGGCACTCGAGGCTGTGCTCAGTCACACTTGGTGGAAAAGAGACATTCGAGGGTCCTGTAACCAAGGACAGATTGTAAATAAAAGGTTCTCATTTTAAAAAGACACCTATTAAAAAAAAGGATATAGTGATAAGTATTTATTGGCTGAAAGGATTAAGCTATTCACTGAAACGATGAAAACTAACATTTTAGTAGTAAAATGTTCAGGCTCCATTAGACTATAGTTTAGAAAAATGAGTCGTTAAAGAGGTCAACTTCTAATTATTCATTATTTCAATAAACGACAAGTAATTTAATAATTTATGACTCTGTATTTCATAATCAAAGCTTGTTATTAGAGATTTGAGTATTTAATCTAAACACAGCTAAGAAAACTGTGAATGTAACTTCACTTTGAAGCAATCCACTGAGAATCATCTCAAACTGTAGAATATATATTCGTATTATCAACTGTTTCTACATCACCTTAAGTCATAATTATATATGAAGTCACGAGGTTCCCTGCAATGTAACAGTTAACACAGGGCATATTTATCAAACTAAATTTCCACGTAAGTAAAAGATCCAAGCCCAAACTAATGACTCAGCTTAACAATATAATACTTAATGAAACAGAAGCTCCAACATTAGGAGCCTAAGGACAGGCCTGGGATTATAGGCCTCACATTAATCTACATGGTTTTGCTGTCCAGGATCTAGTTTCAATAAATGTATTATAACACAGAGTCAAAACGATCAGGTGGAAACCAAAGGGTTAAAATAAGTTAGTTTTGTGGGTTTATTTCTCCCAAAGTCTAAATTTTCACATTTCCAATTAGAATAAAGTGGTTTGTAATTAATTCTTACGAAATATTCTAGACACTCAGGGGTAAAACAAAAAAGCTGATATTATAGTTATTTTGGTTATTACGGCTCTATAGCTTACACTGAACATTTAAGGGTGAAAACCGCATCCATTGTGTTAATGCTGTGAACTGCAGAAGAAAAACGTTTACAATATAAATCTTTAAGAGAAAGTTAATACAAATGAATTTAATACCTAAAATAAATGCCCACTGCCATGACTAGCTAATGATTTTTCCATGTAAGATCACATCTTCAAATTAATACATTCAAATATTAACACTCTTCTATCAAACCGTAAATAAACTAGCTGCTATAAACTGGGCTAAAACAGGATTGCAATCATGTCACCAGTGTGAGGAGCTCAGAGCGAGTCTCAAGTCTTTAATGTATACGGTTTCATTTTATAAGAAGTTAGGAATCATTGAAGGTCAAAATAGGCTTGAAAACATCTCACATCTGCTAAAAGATAAGAAAATCACAATTCAGAAAAGCAAACCATCTGTAAGAATTTGGGGAGCAGAGAGGCCGGGACAGATGCTCTAACGCATTTCCGAGGCCCCCGTGCTGAAGGGAACACTGGCAACGAGAAGTCTAAAGACTTGCCCACGGTGACACAACTAGTTGGTGGCCAAGCCAACAATGCCAGGTTCCAAATTCAATGAGCTAACTGCCGGCCCCACCCCGGCGCACTGTCATGGCAACAGTCCTGTGGCTGTGATCAGGCTCCCTCTGCTAGCAGCCAACCCGCACAGAAACCTCGCTCACTACGGCCAGCTGGTCTACAAAGCACAGCTCCGTTGCTAATACAAATATGAACTTGAGGCCTGCTGCTTGCCCTCAGCCGTGCCGTCTGCAGGCACGGCGCCCTGCCTACGTCTTCGGGGGAGGAATGCGTGGAGGCACTTACTCGACGTGAGCCCCGTTAGCCACCAGGGCGCTGACGCAGTCCAGGCTCCCAGAGCGGGCCGCCTTGTGAATGGGGGTCTCGCCCTCACAGTCCTGAAACAAGAAAGAGCACACGTGAAATATCAACTCCTACAAGACTCTGGCGTTTGGAATAAAATACGTGCCCCATTCACCTCTGAAACCCAGAAACATGGCGAGTCACAGGAGGGGCAGAACACAAAGACATGGCTAGAGGTGCAGGAGGGCAATACAAGTACACCAGCGAAGGGGCACGTTCGCTTTGATCCCCAACTCAGCAGGATGGCACGTACGCGCAGGGCGAAATTTAGAAATCATTTTATGCTACAGCTGGGCACAAATGTGTCATATGTAAAACCCCAAACAACTATCCTATGACTGGCTAAAGAGAAAAGAGTAAAGAACAAAGCCAAAGCCAAGAACACAGCACATAACGTCAAGCGTCTGGTCCGGTCCACCTACGACCATCCACATCTGCCAAAGAGCTGGCCTGGGCTGCAGCATCACCAGGGGCTCCCTTGCATCTTCTGCCTTGAACCTGAATTTATACCATGACGGCAGAGGCTAAACGGTCAGGAATGAGGAGACAGAGAGAACATAGGGCCACACACAGCCAGCTTCAACATCCATGCTCAGGATGTGTGTGATGGGCAACTTGGTCCAAGGACTGTGAGAAAGGCTCTGTCAACAGCGAGATTCCTGCTGGAGACGGCAGAGAGAGTGAGCAGATTCTGGAACAGGACTCTGAAGAGGAGGAGTTAGTTCACAGTTCACTCTATGAATGGGAAGAAATCTGAAACACAATTTCATTCATAGGCTCTTGGGTAGGAGGAGGTAGAGAAAGATACAGCAGTCAGAGGAGGAAGTTGTTTCTGTTAGAAAAACCCATGTAGGACTTCCTGCCGGGGAAATGCTGACTGAGCCCTCACACTTCACCATCCCTGTAAGTTGAACTTGGCAGCAGACAACCACACGTAACGGGGGGGGGAGGGGGGCATCGTGCACCCGGCGCAGTGCTCGAAGAACAGCTCATTCACCAGCGAGACACAGCTCGGGGCGGGGAGGGGGGGGTGCTTTCTCCAGTACACACCGGCTTTCACACAGGTTTGCGGGCTCACACACCGGCTTGTACATAGGCTCACAGGGGATGCTCCAGGGTGCAAGGTGGTGGCTTGTTTCTCGGAAAGATGTGCTATTAAAGACTGGCATGCAGTGGAGAGAAAAAGTGTGCACGTTACTTAAAAAAAGCTCAAAGGCGGTATAAAGTTCTAAACAAAACAAGCCCCCCCATTTTTTTTTTTTATTTCTAGGAGAGAGAGAGAGAGAGAGAGACAGCGTGAGCAGGGGAGGGTCAGAGAGAGAGGGAGATACAGACTCTGAAACAGGCTCCAGGCTCTGAGCTGGCAGTCAGCACAGAGCCCGTCGCGGGGCCCAAACCCACGAACCGCGAGATCATGACCTAAGCGAAAGCCAGACGCTTAACCAACTAAGCCACCCAGGTGCCCCAAAACAAGCCCGTTTTTGAAGAAAGAAACACAGAATTCCATGTGGCTACACAAGGAACCATCTAGTGAATGGAGAGGTTTAGTAAAGCAACCCCCCGCCAATCCTCCCAGAAAGGTGGGAAGCGGAGACAGGAGATACGCGGTAAGGACAACTAGAAACGACAGAGGTACGGCCAGGAAGAGTGGAGCGGAGATGTCAGGGGTCATTCCACCTCGGACCCCCTCCCCCCAAAAACCAGAAAAGGGTTTCCCAGCTCTCTCTGGAGCAAGAGACAAAGCGAAGGTTTGCTCTATTACTTCAAGAAGATGGCAGCACAGCGACGGGACGGAGCAACCGTCTGTGTCCCTGTCCCTGTGAGGACAGCCGGGGCGGCGGGGAGGGAGGAGCGGACACCACGGGGAAGGGCAGCTGGAGACGAGGACTGAGAGCCATTTTACGGTTACTCATGGCTCAGGCTCAGGCCAGTCACATTCCAAAAATATCAAACATGGTGTCGTCTATTCCGGAACTACTGCGGGCAAACTGAGTAAGAGAGGGAAGGGGGAGAGGTGCCAAGAGTGTGAAGTCAGACGAGTCACCTTGCATTTTAAAGAAAGAAAAGTCTAGTTCTATCCAGTTACAAGAAACTAAAAGGGGCATCACATTCCACCAAAGTTCTAGAAAGGAATTAAGAGAGACAGCCTGTAAACGGTACAAAATGTGACGCCTGTGGGGAGTCGGCACAGAGCAACCAAGAATTAAATCCCCTGAAAACTAGCCGCACGCCGTCTCTGGGTAAACACACGACTCTGAGCCTCCAGACAGGACACCTGAGTTCGGTAGCCCCGTGTGCCAAGTTCACAGACAGCAAAGAAAGTCTCAGTGAAACCCAAGGAAAACGAACTTAGAGCAGTTAGGAACTAATATGCCACAAGATGGGCACAAGTTGGAAGATGGGTCAAAACGGGGACACCTGGGTGGCTCAGTCGGCTGGGTGTCTCACTCTGGCTCAGGCCCTGATCTTCCTTTGTGGGTTCGAGCCCCACATCGGGCTCTGTGTCAGAGCCTGGAGCCTGCTTCATATTCTGTGTCTCCCTCTCTCTGCTCCTCCCCTGCTTATGCTGTCTCTCCCTCTCAAAAATAAACAAACATTAAAAAATTAAAAAAAAAACAAGATGGGTCAAAACTAATAAAACAGGAGTAGGAAGAAATGCAAGGAGAGGGTCAAAACCACTACACGCACAAACAAAACTTAGAGAACCCTGGATCTGGTTTTCTGACAGTCTGTGTGGGAGACGAGAAAGTGCCTACCTCAGGGTGAGTTGACACTTGCCGGGGGCGGCTAACCAAAGGGCTGTGTGACTTCAGAGGTCACCAGGGGCCTGTCCCAGCAGGCCAGCCACTAAGCCACAGAGCAAGACAGCATCTGAGACTCAGCCCGCAGCCGAACACATGCGCACCACGTGAGACCACAGCTGACCCCTTCCAGGAACACGGGCAGGGCGCTGGTGGCCCCAGGGGACCACCTTGGAGGGCGTGGACTTTGGGGGGAGCGGCAGGGAGTGAGGTCTGGGGCCTCTTGTCCCGGGAGCAGGACCCAGAGGGTGTGCGCACAGGACTATCAAGAGCAGCCCTGACATCCAGGGAAAGGACGCGCTGCCCTAACACGTTACACGAGAGCGGCCTTCTAGATTTAAAAAGATCTGAAAGGCAGCGCCCGACAATTTGTTTAGATTTTCTTTAGATCTCTGTAAATTAGATGCTACATAACAACTGGATGAAAATTAACCCAATGTTTTATACTAAAATTCCACATCAACGTTCATTATTCATCACTGCCATTCGTGCCTGGTCCTCGTTCTATCCACAAAGAGACTGAGCCACACAAGAGGGAGCTGCCACAGGCCAGAGAGTGGGGGCGACAGCCACCCCCGTGGTTCTACGAGGATGTCAGGGAGGAGAGAAGGCAGCACCGGGAGGGGCAGGTGGAGACAGGCAACGCCTGGTGCCGTAAACGGTGCGGGGCTGACAGCCGTGCCTCTGCAATACGTGGTGAGAGCACAACATGCAGGGTCACCTGCCCACCCATCCCTGCTCTGCAGCACCGCTGCAAACGCCTTTCCTCAATCGCAGCCCTGTGGGTGTGCAGCCGAGTTCCTGGGAAGAGAGGGGCTCACAAGCTGTTACGGCTGCTTACCATCAAGAGATGGATGAATTGTGGAGAGAAAATAAAAATGGTTCTGCACACAGTAGGCTCTGGATGATGGTTAGCAGAAAATGCCTATAAACCCAGGATAAGGAATAAAGTACAAAGGCATAAAGGCGTCTCTACAGAGACCGAGGCATAAGCCCCTTAGATGAGCTGACCCTCAGGGCAGGGTCTCCCCCTGGGGACCACTCTGGTCAGACTAGCCTGAGTCATCTACACCTGCTCACACAAGAGTCCCCAGTAAGTGAAACTCTCTCCTTGAAGGTTTTATTTATTTATAACCTTTTATTTGTGTGAGAGAGAGAGAGAGACCGCGTGAGCAGGGGAGGGTCAGAGAGAGACAGAGACACAGAATCCGAAGCAGGCTCCAGGCTCTGAGCTGTTAGCACAGAGTCCGACACGGGGCTTGAACCCATGAACCGTGAGATCATGACCTGAGCCGAAGTCGGACGCTTAACTGACTGAGGCGACCCTCCTTGAGGTTTTTTCAAGGAAGTGAAAGGAGTAGTGAGAACACACCATGAATCACAGGCACACTCGTGCTTGCACACTTCAACACAGTCCCTGCGCCTGCTGTCCGGGTGGCCACACAGCACCTGCTACTTGGCTGCGATCACCACCCCCCACTCATCCCTGAAGCAGCACTGACTTACGCCAGTCGGCGTGCTCATGAGAACTTAACCACGCACAGGGTTTAACAGCCACTCTTTGGCCAGCATGGGCACATTTCACAAGGATCTGTGCACATGAAGCAAAGGCAGCTGTGAGCAGGGAGCCAGGCAACCTGGGCTCCAGGCCAGACTCGTTCAGTCACCAGCTGTAACCGGGGGCAACTCACCTCAGATCACTGTGGATCTCAGGCCCCGAGCAGATGAAAAGCACTCTATAAACAGAAAGCCCTGCTCTGCGAAGGGCCTATTATCCACAAGTAACTCAATAAACAGAAATCCCAGGTAGCCCAAAGGTTAAGATATCAAACTCTAATTAAGGCCTCAATTTAAAACTCAACACCATGTAATTACAACTAGAAAAAGAAAATAAAAACCAAGTTAATCATCGGCACTCCCTTACCGGTTGGTTAATGCTGGCTCCGGCTTGGATCAACCAGATGAGGCAGTGAGGGTGTCCCCCGAAAGCGGCAATGTGGGCTGGGGTCTGTGCGTAGCGTGTTGTGGACACATCCAGGGTGGCCCCAGCTCTCACCAACTGGATCAGGCACTCCAACTTTGAAAATGGCAGGAGGGGGGTGACACATGTGTAAGTATATGACACATATACTATTAAACATCACAAGCTCAATTTCAATTCTACGATGCAGATAAGAGGCATTTTTTTGTTACCAAATTTTTTTTCCTGTTTAAGGGAACAACACAAATTAATTCCTTTAAATTTAAAATTTAAAACAATTTTAAAAAAACATTTAACAGAATTATTTTTCCTTGTCTTGGTAAAAAAAAAAAAAAAGGTCAGTACGTAGGAGTAAAAGCAAAAAGTTGATGCCACACAAACTTAAACAAAGACCAATCTCTGCAATCTGCACACCTTTACACGACACTTCTGGGGAAAGCTTGGGTGAGAGGCCCATCCTCCAGATGACAGTCTTGGGGACAAGATGTGCAGAGTGAGAGGCAGCATTCAGACCCCCCACTCCACCCCCACCTGGGGGAAAACAGGGCCTGCCGAGGGACTAGGAGACCACACTCCACGGCCAGGAGCCGACAGCATCCTAGCCCATCACACTCAACAAACATGCAACACACGCCTACTGCGAGGCGGTCGGCCCCAGGAAGCCTGTGGCCCAGACTCACACCGAGCCCCTGCCCACAGTGTGTCCTCAGGCCCCGGCCGGCCCCCTTTCCCCTCTCCAGGCACAGGACAGAGTTCATGGAAGAGCTCTCCTGCCAACAGCTGTATTTTGGGAGACAGACCTCAGAGAAGGTGGCCACACCCGACCTCACCCCACGGCTCTTATCATCATCTTTCAGTGACTTAAGGTCAGGTCGCTGCAATCACCGAGTGTGGGAGATGAGCCCTCATGCTGGGGAGCACCCAGATTTAAAACACGATCTCTCCGTCTTCCAGGAACCTGGGAGTGACGGCCCACAGAGACACACCGCTGGTGTGCTTCTGCACGCCGGCTTTACTGACGGACCCAGGGAAGAGCGACAGTGCCAACAGTGGCTGCGAGATGATCAGGTGTCCAATCCAAAAACCAGTGGAAACAAGGATGAAAATCAGCTGGCGTGTCAAAAACTGTGACTCTTGTAACATCAATAAGAGCTCCCTAGACATACATCTGTCAGCTACGGGTTCACTTTGGAAAGCTGGGTTTAGAGCTCTGGAAAGATACTGTTCCACACGACAGCTTGGGGACTTTAATTAACGTGTAGTTCTTGGGGAAAAAAAGGTCTCACCGAAGGTCAGGTAACGTGCACAACTGGCACATTTCTAGGATCAGCAGCCTGGAGTCGGGAATGGCTCCTGACGCGCGGATCGCCAACCCGGGGGTGCGGGCCTGAGGGCTGCGGAGGCTCCGCGGCACAGACTGGGGCCCGGAGCCCTGACCCCGGCCCCATTCCTGCGCCAGCTGCTTTCTCACGCTGAAGTAAGTAACTGCCTCCAGCTAAGGTTGGGGCCTGACTCTGGATCTTCCACCGAGGTGCAGACTTTCAAAAAGTGAATCCAGCGGGTTTTCCTTCTCCCCGCTCACAAAACATCCAAACCACAAAATTTACCATGTTAAGCACGTTCGGGCCCTTGTGATCCCTAGAGGAACCTGAGGCGCCTGGGTTGGTAAATACCCTGAATGAACGTCTCTAAGGCGGTTTTAAACACCGTATGGAATGTACCAGATTCTCATGCAATACTGTGTCAGGGGAACCTATTCAGAAACCGCTGTCCCTGCCTGTTACGGGGTCGCCTCCCCCCAAAACGCTGAGGGACTAAAGTCTTGGAGGACCAGTGCTCGAGTCACCCATGTGGAAACGTAAAGCAGACGCAGGCGCACCGGGCCGGGGACAGTCTCCGAAGCGGACCCCCAGGGCTGCGGGCGAAGGGCCCCCGCGGGCGCGCCCTTCCGGCCCGGGGCTGGGGTCCTAACCCCCCTCATTTCCCCCAAAACCACTCTGACGCTCGCGTTTAGTGAATCACAAGCGCTGCCCCGGGAGACACACCTGGACTGCGAACGGAGCAGCAGGGACGGCAGCCTCGTCAGCTGGTGATAAAAACACGTCCCTGGAGGGAAATAACTCACTTCACGCCACTGCACGCATCTCCCCGAAACCCCGTCTCCGCTCCGGCCCCGCCTCCTCGTTTCCCAGGGAGAGCGCTTCACTCGTCCCCGAGTTCTGGTACCTGACTGTCTACCACTCACGCGCTGAGGCGCAGCGCGGGCCTCGGCCGCCGACTCTCCCCGAACAAGTAATTACGAAGCGACGCAGAAGGGGGCGCAGAGGACGCCCCCCGGGAGGGCTCCCGGCAGCCCGGGTGCAGCCCCACGCCAGCCCCGGGTCCCGGCAGCTCGCGCCCCGCGGCCGAACGCCCCCACAGCGCCGGCAGCCGAGCGGCCCAGCCCGCCGCAGCCGCCAACCGCCTCCGCCAGGCGCGGCGCCCCCGCGAGCCGGTGCCGTTTGAAACTTGCGCCGGCGCACTTGCGCGCGGGGCCCCTCGGGGCGCCGGCGCCGCGGGGCCCGCTTCCGCCTCGCGCTCCCGGCACGCCCCGCGCCCCTCTCGGGGCCCCGGCCGACCGCGCCGGCGCACACGCGCCCGGGACCCCTTGGGGCGCCGGCGCCGCCGACCCCGCTTCCGCCCCGCGCCCCCCCCACGCCAGCGCCTCAGCCCCCACCCTCCCCGGCCCACCGCTGGAAAGCTGCGGAAAATGGCGCCTTAAAGCGCCCGCGCCCACCTTGCCGAAGTGCGCGGCCCAGTGCACGGGCGTCCAGCCGTAGAAGGAGTCTTCGGCGGCCAGGTGGGCGCGCGGCGTCTGCTGCAGCAGCGAGCAGAGCGCGGCCAGGTCCCCGTCGCGGCAGGCGCGGTGCAGCGGGAAGCGGAGCGACAGCAGCTCCTCGCTGGAGAAGCCCGCCTCCACGCCTGCGCCCGCTCCTGCCGTCGACATGGTCCGTCACCGGAGAGCGCGGGCTAGCTGGCCGAGAGGACGCGCGGGCGGGGACCCGAGAGCCCGTCGCCTGAGCACAAAGGAGCGAGGGTGCCGCCGCCGCCGCCGCCGCGTCCCGCCGGCTGCCGAGCCGAGCGGAGCCGAGCGCGTACAGGGGGCGGGGCGGGGGCGGGGCCTGCCGCAGGCAGGTCTGAGGCCGGCGCCCGCCGACGCCGGGTCTGAAGGTGGGGCCTGCAGTGCCAGGGGGTGGGGCCTGGCAGGGCCTGGGCTGACCCGGTGGAACAACAGGCGGGCCGGGGGGCAGGGGGCGGGGCCTAGGCGAGGGCGGGGCCTGGGAGCCGGCGAAGAGGCCTGGAGCAGGGGGCGGGGCCTATCTGGGTCGGGGTGACTGCGGAAGCCTGTACCGAGACGCGGGCCGGGCCTGGGGCGGAGCCTGGGGAGTCGGCGATGAGGCCGGGAAGAGGGGGCGGGGCCTAGCGGGGCCCCGGATGCAGCAGACGCCTGGAGCGGGAGCGGGAGGCGGGGCAGCAGGGGGCGGGGCCTGGGAGGTGGTGCCGAGTCAGGGGGCGGGGCCTACCGTGGCTGGAATGTGGCTGAGGCTGGGAGCCGGAGGCTGGCGGGACCCGGGAGCAGGGGGCTGGGAGTGGGGACCCCGAACTGGGAACTGAGAGAGGGGACTCGGGATCCGGGAACGGGGAGCCTGGGAACCCGAAGCGGGGAGTCCGAGAGCCCGAGGCGGGGTGCCCGAGTGGCGGGAGCCGGCAGCAGGAAGCCCGGAGCCCGGGAGCGGGGAGCGCGGGAAACCTGGGGGGCCCGCAGCGGGGAGCTGGGTCCAGGCGGGTCCCCACCCGGACGGGCGGGGTCGGCTCTCGGCCGCGTGCCCCGCCCAGACCCCAGGTCCCGCGGTCACACCGGGCTCTGGCTCCGTCCTCTCCAGGCGCCTGCCTGTCGGGCGAGCTCCGAGAGCCGCCAGCAAAACCCTGGGAAATCCTCTGTCAGTGAGAATCACAGTTTTCTTAACAGATTTTTTTTTCTCTGATTATGAGTAATAGGTGGAAATCAATAATTTCACTGTCGAGGAATAACTACTCTCAACGTTTATGAGTAGTTCCTTACAGTACTTTAACCATATAGTTTCATTATATATTCTTTTCCCTTATATATATTGCTTTTCTTTTCCTTTTTTTTTTTTTTAATATTTTTATTTCTAGGAGAGAGAGAGAGAGAGACAGCGTGAGCAGGGGAGGGTCAGAGAGAGAGGGAGTCACAGACTCTGAAACAGGCTCCAGGCTCTGAGCTGGCAGTCAGCACAGAGCCCGATGCGGGGCTCGAACCCACGAACCGCGAGATCATGACCTGAGCGAAAGTCGGACGCTTCACCGACTAAGCCACCCGGGCGCCCCTTCTTTTCCTTTTTTTAAGTGATGGAATTCTGAATCACAGTAATTCAACTTAAAGTAGGTAACCAGATGTCTGAGGAAATAATGGTACATTAGATACACCTGGCAGCATTAGTTAATAAGACAAGAAATTAGGCACCTCATGCCTAACAAAGGGAAATTGTTAATGTATGGTATAAACGCACAACACATTCCTCTATTCCTAAAACAAACACGTTGATTACAATGTGAATGGAACACTTTGGGAGGTGCCCCAGATGCAGTAAGTGAGAAAAAGCAGCAGTATTTCAAGGAGCAATTAGTAATGCGTGGGAAACACGAATGAGACAGGTTCTGCTTCCTCTCCAGGAATTTATAATCTATTAGATGAGGCAAGGAAGAATATTTCAGTAGTCGCAGCAGTACCTTTGTTTGGACCAGAAAGGTAGAACCATCCTGCAAACTCAGTGCCAGCTTGAATTCTGGAGTGGACAGAATTCAACCTTTTTTTTTTTTTTTTGCATACACCAGGCTGGTTTTAATCTCATTATCTCTGTAAGCTGTACACCATACTGACTTCCATCCTTCCTGGGAAAGCAGCACCCCATTTTGCAAGATGCCTTGTCATCTGTAATAACAAGAGGGAGGGATTAACTTATGCCTCTTCACAGTGCCCGCTGCAGCGGACAGAACTGAGACGCAGATAAGCTGAGAACTCGCACAAGGACAAACGGTGTGCCTGGGGCAGAGCTGAGAATAATCGCCAGACCTAGTTTCCAATCCAGTTAGATTTTTTTAACCTTGGAACTTATTTTGCGTAAAGAGCCTTAAGGCCTAGGAAAATAAAGTAGGTTATAGTGGCACCATACTTAGAATGCCATCCTTCCTCAATTAAGATTACTTTCTGGTTTTCAGAGTGACTAGGACTATGTACATATTTATTTATGTCCTTTTATATACATATTTAAGTAACTGAAATAGATCATCAACCTAGATACAATGATAGGTCCTTAAGATAGCCTGCATGATATGATAATTGTGGATGTAAGAGTTATCAAGTGTGCCTAATGAGTGCTCCCAAATGCCAGTGTTCTGGTTGGTTGGTCCCAAGTTTTGCCCAACTCATAATTATTACCATTTATGGATTTTCTTTGGGATTCTTGTTTCTAAAGAGCTCTGAGGGAAAGGGGGGGAAAACCAGATTCATCACTCATGTCCTTTGATTTATTTGACACAACCTTTCTTCTTGACCAAACTACTCAGTCTCCCCCAAATCTTGACTAGGCTTAAAGGTTGGGATTTGCGTGTTTGTCTCTGCATTGTCCAGTTTTAGCAAGACTCCTGCTAAGTTGGTTGAGCTAGAGTTCCCAGCCCCCATATCAGATCGTCTTTGATGTCTAATCAGTTTCTTCAGCCTCCATCCACCCCCAAGTGATGTTGGCTCAACGCAGCCTGTGTCCATCAAGGATCCTGCTGGGTCAATTTAGTCAGAACCTGACGGTTAGCTGGCCCTGGTGTTTTGTCTGAGTGATTTTCCACCCTCCATCGTCCACCCAGGGTAAAGAAGTTGCCTGTGCTATTCTCAGAGCCGAGTCTGATCTCTCTACCCACCGCAAGAAAAAGCAGGATCCCAGCTCCTGCTGCCAAGCCCTCCCCCCTCCCCCGCCCAGTACAGTCCACCTTACTGTGCTTTAATGCATCTCGCTGAACAATGTGTTTGAATAATAATCTTTTTAACATAAGCAAACTTGGATATTTGAAGAGATGATTCAGATACATGACAGAAAACAGGAAGACTCAAAGTCTCAAAATAAAATGAAACAAAAAAAGCTCTGCACTTAGGATTGCACTGTGTGAGGAATTGCTCAAATGGGGCAGGGCTCAGGTGAAGGCACGTCCCAGTCAGAGATGTGCAGAACTGCCCACACACCGTGGAAACATCAGTGGGGCTGTTTTCACACTGGGAACGGGACACGGTCAATGCCGTGTCATGAGAGGTGAGATTGCAGAGGAAGGTAGGACCCGGGCTACGCGCCACGCTAAGGCACCGTCCTTCGTTACTGCAAGTGAGAGGCTTTGCTGTGATGCCTGGTGATGGGCGCGGGCTCAGAGGAAGCCCCACATCTGACGTGCGGCTGGCTGTGCCTGGGTAGCCCGCTGGGACGATGCCCTCAGCCTGGACCGCAAGTGGGAGCACAGCCTTACGGTTTTCTCTCCTCTGTGCCTCCTCCCCACCATCTACCTCCCTCCACGTGGCCAGATCCATCTTTTAAGAAGGTAAATCTGCTTAAAATCAGACATGAGAGCAGTGTCTTGGTCTGTTCCAGCCTCCATAACAAAGTACCACAGACTGGGGGGGGGGGGGACTTAAACAACAAACTGAAAGACTGCAAGTCTGAGATCAGGATGCTAGCACAGATGGTTCTGGAGGGGCCGCTCTGCCTGGATCACAGGCGGCATCTTCTCTCTGTGAAGCTACTTGGTGTGGAGGAAGCCACGTCTCTGGTGTCTCTTCTCCACGGGGCACTCCTGCCATCATAGACCTCCTCCAGCCCTAATCACCTCCCAAAGGCCCCACCTCCAGATAGCATCACATTGGCATGAATTTCGGGAACACAGACATTCAGTCCGTAGCAAACGACTTCCCAGACTCCTGTCATTCAGATACCACTCCCACGTGGATTTTTACCACGTCCACGTGAACTTCTGTATCTACATAGGATCTGTGCTATTCATAATTTTCTTAAAATAAGTTCACTTTCATAAATTGCTGACCTTATCTACATTCTCTTCATTAGGAAAACACCAATGACTTTATGTTGCCAGTTACATTTTCCTCCTACTCATTTAAACAAATCCACGTGTTCACGTGCTTCCCAAATCAGTCCCCGCGGTCGGTGGTGCTACACCACACTTTGGAAATTGCTCCCTGGGAGCAAAAGCCCAAATCCGTTCCTTGGCCTGTTGGCACCCCTACAGCCAGGGTCTGCCCGCCTCTCTGGACTGTCTGCCCTGCCTCACGGGCTGTCCAGTGAGCCCTTGAAGCCAAGGGTGCTTCTGGTGAAGGCTTCCACCCTGTTCCCAGCGCTTCCTTCCCCTGTTGTGGCCGAGTCATGCCCCCCCCTCCTGTCCCCCAGTGCTTTAGAATGTGACCTGATTTGGAAATGGGATCATTGTAGATGTAACCAGTTAAGGTGAAGTCATAGTGGGGCAGGGCAGGCCCAAACCCGATGTGATTGGTGTCCTTATAAAAAAAGGGGTGCGCACATGGGGAGAACACCACGAGGCAGAGACGGCAGGTGCAGCAGAAGTAAACCCCAAGGACGGCCAGCAACACCAGAGGCAAGGGGATGCCTGGGGCAGGTCCCCCTTCACGGCCTCCTTGGGAGGTCCAGCCCTGCCCACACCTGGCCTCCAGAACGAGAGGGCACAGATTCAGGCAGCCCAAGTCCAGTTTGCTGGGTTTGATCATGGCAGCCTCAGGACACTTGCCCAGGACATAGCCTCTGCAGGGGAGGCTCCCCCACTGCCCCCCTGCCCACTATCCAAGTGCCTCTCCTTCCAGAAGCCTCTGCCAGGTGATAGCTGGAGCCTACTTCACCTCTACTCCAGGGTTCCTGGGTGTCTGACATTTTAGTTTCCTCCAGCCCTTGGATGAAAACACTTAAAAACCCGGCAAGTAGGGGCGCCTGGGTGGCTTAGTCAGTTAAGCATCCGACTTTCGCTTAGGTCATGAACTCGCGGTTTGTGGGTT